TCCAATCATCGAATCATGCGATAGAAATCCATTTCTTCGCGATCAAACTCAACTCACTTCTTCCTTTAAGCTTCCTTTCTTTTCTTCGATCATACAAAACATCAAAAATGCAATCTTATCACATCATGTATTAAGAATCAAAAAATAGGAACTTATAGAGTTAGTTAGTGGATTTTACCTGAAGTAGAGCCATACGTTTTGACTCTCCCATCTCTTAGATCTCTTAGGTAGACAAGACAGCTTCGTCTCTAATGCCTCTTTTCTTGGTAATAAAAGAAAATTGACTCTTTTGGAACAACACACAGAACTACCTCACACTTTTCCTTTCTCTTATGGTCAAACTTTTCGACCATGGCATGCCTTTCGTTGCCATTACCTATGTCCATGGAGGTCTGGAAGGCAGATCTACCAACCAACGTTGCTTCTCCATTGCGCCAAATCATTTCTGATTTAGCAACAACAAGCAAATAGGTGAGATCGATGAGGGTCACGTCATGGTTTATCATATAATACTCTCTTACGAACTCACTATTGTACAAGTTATTTACTATGAGTTTATGCATTACATTGTTGTAACGTATTCTCATACTTTGTTTGCTATTCCATATGGTTCGGTAGATAACGTATTCGATATATACCTAGTTTGGTATAAGGCTGTTCCGATATATACCTGGTTCGAGATAAGAAGGATATATATATATATATATATATATATATATATATATATATATATATATATATATAGCTTCGAGCGAGGTTATATCCTATTACCTGCCACTGGTCACTTCTCAACTAAGTCCTCCACTGGTCACTCATACATAATCCTAATAATTGGTGTACCCTAGTTACCCTAACCTAACATAACCCCTAACTGTACCATACAACCTACAAGCAAGGTCGTACCTGTCTAGCATACAATGACACTAAGTATCTCATACAACCTATATATATATATATATATATATATATATACACACACACACACACACACACACAAAGGAGTTACTTCAGCCACTAACATATTTTTGCTCTAACATCACCTATGCCCTAACATGAAAAGGATATACAATGGGATACGTGGCATAGTGAGAAATTCACCTGAATTGAGGAACCATAGAATCACAATAACACTCTCACACTCTGCACTACTCAAACCTGCGAACCCGCTAAACTCCAAAAGAAATAATCCTTACCGAACAACCCAGATCCTCCAAGTTTGAGCCTAAGTCAAACTGGTCAAAAGTCAACGGTAAAACAAGTCAAAGTTAACACCACGACGTGGGCCCTCCTTAGCCACGTTGTAACACCCGTTTTTCAGGATGGATCAATTTAGGGATTTAAAGAGTAGAAATATTGATTTTTAGGGAAATCGGGTGTCACGACGTGACAAACAAAATATGAGAAAGCGTGTTTTGGACCATTCTAATGACGTGAGACATAAGGGCTCATGATGTGAGAGCTTCAACAACCTAAACCCATGATCTTTTAGGGGTTTCTTCGTATTTATGCACCCTAAAATCGATTTTAGGGTTCATTTCTCAGCCTCCATCTCTCTAAATATCAGAAATGCTAACCCTAGTTCTTCATGGTGGTGTTTGGTGCTTATTTAGTGATTTTTGGTTATTTGAAGAAGAAGTAGACTCCTTGGGTGCATCCTTTTGGCAATCAAGCTCCCACCTCACCACCTTGCGATGCTTTTGGACCCTTGTATGTCATAAAGGTTCTACCTTTATCTCTAATGCATGCTAGATCTAAGGTTTATTCCTTTCTTTTTATGGATGAATTTGATAGCATGCATGAGATACATAAAGTTAGCAACTGTATTGGTCATTGAGACATTTCCTTTTAGTATGAGTTTAGATCTGAGTTTTTGTACTGATTTAGACTCCAAGCATGAGTCTTGATCTTATTTCCCTCTTATTTACCTAATTGGTGTTAAGTCATGCATTGGAGATGCATAACTGTAAAGCTTCAATTTTAATAGTCCTTAGGGTTGGGGGAGACCCTCTATAAAGTCTCAACGAATGGCTTAAGAGATTAAGAACTTAATGATTAAAGCTGGCCAGAGCAGATATCACGACTTGAGCAATAGCCTGTCACGTCGTGAGATGTGGTGTTCGCTACTATTTTGTCCTTTTCCAGTCACGATGTAACCTATGAGTGGTTACAACATGATCATTGGCTGATGTTGAATTTTTTACCATGGTTGACTTTTGGTCAAACTAAGGGTTTTGGATTTCAAACTTAGAGAGTACTCTTTATTGTTGTTAGGTGCCATGTAGGATCAGTCTTTATTGAATGAGAGATGTGGAATTTAGCTGCTACTTACGAGGTGATTCCTCTCATTGTACTTACCTATATGGTAGTGTATGTTGACCAGTTGGGTCTTATCTGTTGATATTCATGAGACTACTGGTAGGCCATAGGCCATAGGGTTGCTGATAATCTGTGAGGTGTGCTATAAGCCATTGGGACTACTGATAATCCCCAGTGTTGCTGAAGACCCATAGTTGTTATATTGCATGATGTATGTGATATTCAAAAATTCTTATAGTTCTAAGGTTGTTGTTATGTGTTGTGCTGTATGAGATATTTGGGGAACTCACTAAGCTTTGTGCTTATAATTGTGGATTAAATATTTTTGCAGGTACTTATTTGGTTTGTGAAGGTGGGACTGTACACACAAATCAACAACTTTATGATCCGAGATTCTATGTTGTCTTCATTATAACTCTGATTTCTGAATAATGGTTTTTGAACAAATGATTTATTTGAATGTATCATTATTAAAAATGAAAATTTTGTACTGAGTTTTCTGGATGTTACACACGTCGTGGGAACTTAAGGTGAAAAATCAACATGTAGGACATTGCCACATTGTGGGCCCTCCGTAGCCATGTCATGGCAATGCCAGGACAAAACAGTCACATATCCAAGCTTCGCCACACCGTGGCTATCCATTGGCCACACTGTGGCTATTGGCAGAATGCCATTTCTCTCATTAGGAGCTTGATACTTCAAATCAAGGCTCATACTTCAATATCTACTTCTTCTCAATGATCTAATGGATAAAGTTTCCAACTTTATCCATTAGCACTCTACTTCAAGTCCATTAAGCTCTTAATGTAACCAAAACTTAAACAAGGAATTAAGAACTCTCAAACTAAGACCTTTTTCTCACTTAACAGAAGTCTATGACCATTAGGAGACCATATCAAGCGCTGGTGTTCCTTAACTCCAAGAACATCCAAAAATGGGACCAAAAACCAACCATCAAGGTCAAGAAAATGAATATCTAAAGAACAAAGTCAAGGTGAAAATGTTTTTCCTCCAAAGGTCTAGAAACATGAAGGAGATGTTGGATATAGCCTTCCTCTATGCTTCCTTGGAACAAGAAGGAGTCCCTTTCTTCACAAGCTTCACTAAAATAATAGGAACTACTTCAAAATCAAGCCACTAAGCGCAAAACCATGGTTGAGAGGCTAAGGTTTTGAAATGGAGAGATAGATGCTGAAGGAGATAACCTACTCCATGAGTTAAGGTGTTTATATATTAGGGAAACCCTAAAAATCACGGGTTTGGTTTGCAACGATTGACACATCGTGGCCCTCTTCTTGCCATATTGTGATAACCATAATAAACACACGTTTCATAAAACCCATGCCACGTTATGGGAATCCATGCGCCACATCGTGTTATAGGTTTTTTCTTCAAAACCCCTATCTTTGGTCCCAAACCGGCTTTAACTGATATTTTTGGAACATGGGTGTTACACATACATTTAAAAATGCTAATATATATTTATATGGGTTTGAATAAATTTCCAACAAATGATCAATAAACATATTTCATAGAGAGACGATGAAGTTATTATTGGTTGCAATACAACGTAACATATATTTTTTGGAGTAGACGATGTATTTTCTCTATTGAAATTCGTCTTCTACAAGACTAGCTATCATATCCTCGTTATCATTATTATTTGGAGTAGACGATGTATTTTCTCTATTGAAATTCATTTCAATTATGATCAAATTTCTTTTCATTAAGATTATGTATTGACTCATAGTTAAAACATGATGAGCATCTTGAAATTTTCACACATGTACGTATGTTTTGTCCATCTTAGAAAGTGTGAGAATATTTAAAGTTCCATATATATGAGAATTTTTTATTTGCCTCCACCACCAGATACACATTTGAGAATATTTAAAATTTCATACGTCTTCATTTTCTAGGTTTTCTTAATTTTCTTTAAATTTAGATAATTATGATGATGTAATAGGTGGTTCGCCTTTTGAACAACCTTTGGATGTGAAAAAATCAAAACTGAAAAAAAAAGGATGATCAAGTAGCATGTTGTCAGCACAATTGATGAAGGGAATAATTTTTTTTTAGAACAATTAAAAATATCATATGCTCACAGGCAACATTTTTTGGATTGTCAAAGCAAAAGTTATGTTTTGAAAGAGGTTAGAGATGAAAACAAAATGTTGCTTCACTATGTGAACTCATCGTGGATCCCAACGTTCAAACATTTGTTTTGACTAAACAAACATAGATTGTAGAAAAAAATGTAATAACATTTGTATGTTAGTTTTTATCTTGTAATTTTTTACTTGTAGTTTGTAGTTTATAGTTGTAATTTGTAATTTGTAATTTTTATTTCAAATTAATATTATGCTTTTATATATATATATATATATATATATATATATATATATATATATATATATATATATATATATATATATATATATATATATATATATATATGATCAAATGAGAACGCCTAAAAGGTTAAGAACGCAAGAACACTTATCAGCCAATCATTTTATTAGGGTATTTAAGTAAATTTGTATTTAATCTAATTTTTAATTAATATAATACAATTAATAATCAATATATTATCCATTAATATTTTCGTATAATTAAGGGATATTCCATAGTTATCGTTCAAGGAGATATTGAATTGAAGATACGATTTCCAGGGACGATTTCCAGTATAGCAATCGGGATTTCAGTCGACTTTTGTATATTGTTAATCATTTACGTTTGAAGATAACAACGCAGTATACCATTCGTGATTCAAATCAATATCGATGTCGGACTGTTTTGATTACAGTAGCGATGATACAGAAGATGATGATCAATATGGCGAAGAAGAAATCAATTGTAATGAATATGATGGCGACGATTTCTATAATTCGGATGATCAATACAGCGGAAGAAATCAATTATCTGATTATGCGATTGAAGGTAAATAATGAAAACAATGTCAATATCTTGTAAATACAGATCGTGTTTTTCAATAATTATTGAATTTTTGTATATGTTGAATAAGACCAGAGTACATATTTGTATATGATTAGTCATATACGTTGCATGTATTAATTACGTAATGCTTGTTTATATCACATATCGTTGTACAGGAGTCCCTCGTTGGTGATTTTTTCTTAAGTTTAATACAATGTTGATTAAGTTTAATAATCATTGGTGATTATGCGTTAACGCGACTCAAATAAGTAAACACTTCAACTCTGGTTACTGTTTCACAGATGTTTATTATGATTATAAAGTTCTGTAGTTTATGTATACGTAATTCATAGAAATTTATATCATGTCTTGCATGTCGCATTATTGTTTTTTGTTGTCTTAAAAAACAGGTACAAATCGAACTGATTCTGAAGAGGAATCATTCAATAGTAATGTTGTTGACTCTCCTGGTGGGAAAACCAAGTTGTGGAAACCTATTGTTCCTAAAGATTTTATGTCAGATGTAGATGCTATATATCAATCATTAGAGGAGGCGGTTGAAATGTATAAATTATATGCAGATAAAACAGGTTTTGGTGTCAGGTTAAATACAATAATGAGGTTTTGTGACAAAACCATTAAAAAAAAGGTATGTAGTGTGCAACAAAATGGGTAAAATACCTAACAGATCAACTGACATTTTGGATCCTGAGGGTAGTGGAAGGAATAAACGAAACTCAAACTTCAAAATTACGGACTGCAAGGCATTGATAAAGTTTGAAAGGTTACATATGCAAACTAATGCTTGTAAAATATATGATTTTGAAGAGAATCACAACCACCCCTAGAGACTAAAGAAGAAAGACGGTATTCCAAATGTGCACGAAGACTTAGTTATAAAGACAAGGAGTTTATAGTGCGTTCTTCAACATCTAACATTGGTGCAACAAAGGCACATAAGTTACAAGCTAGTTTGCAAGGAGGTTATGAAAACATTGGCCCTGAAGCAATTGATTATAAAAATTTCAGAAGGAAGGTGGGAAACATTATAGGTGACAAGGATGCACAGCTGGTTGTTGACAAAATGAACATGATGAAAGATGAGTTACATAATTACACATTTGAGTATAAATGTGTTGATAGTGTGTTAAACGCAATGTTTTGGGCGGATGAAACCGATAAGTTATATTACAAGGAGTTTGGAGATGTGATATCATTTGATGCTACATTCCGAACAAATAAGTATGCTCTTATACTCATTATACATTTTTTTTATTTAAATATGAATATTGATGTTTTTTGACTTTGTAATCAATGTTGAATTTGTTTTTAATTACCTTTTTGATACATTATGGAATGATTTTGGTGCCATTTACAGCCATTGATAACCACAAACGTTCAATAAACATTGGGGCATGTTTGTTAAGCAACGAGTCAATAGAATCTTATCGTTGGTTGCTCGAAGCTTTTTTGAAAAGCACATGTAAAACACCCTCAATTAGTGTTAACAGACCAAGATCCAGCAATTCTACAGGCCGTTGAAGCAATATTTCCTACTTCTAATCATCGTTTATGTATGTGGCACATTATGAAAAAACTACAAGCCAAGGTGTGTATATTTTGGTCTAAGTTAACATGCAACATGTTTTATTCATCAATGATTTACACAGTTTACATATTTTTAATAACGATTAGCATACATATTGTTTGGAATGTCTATTTTTTTTTTAGGTTTCAGCCGATTTTTTGAAAAACACTGATTTTCGAAAGCGTTTTACGAAGCTTGTTTGGAATGTCTATATCGAGCCTGAAGTGTTTGAGTCAAGGTGGAAAATGCTTATGAGAAAATTCAAACTACAGGATAAAAGATGGTTCAAAGACATGTACATGGATCGAAAACTTTGGATTACAGCCTATTTTAAAGACATGCCACTACACGGTCTGATGAAAACTACTTCAAGGTCTGAAAGCGTGAACTCATTTTTTAATAAATACTCTAACTCTGGTAATTTGCTTATCTATTTCATGATGAACTACGACACCGCAATTGGAAAGTAACGAAATGCTCAACAGAAACTAGAACATGATACAAAAAATGCAAAGCATGAAATGACGCTTCCAAGTGGCTTACTAGAACATGCAGTTGTGGTTTACACTAATTTTTTTTTCTATGATGTCAAAAAGGAAATATTTAAAGCAGCCTGGTACTGTTCTATCGACATTGTTGAAAAGATTGATGGGTGGCAAGTTGTTATGATTACACAAACGGATAAGAGCAAACAGGTGAAGATAAAATGCAAGGTTATATTCATCGTTTAAACACTTTTCATTAGTCATCATACAAGTATATTGTATCATTATTTTTAAATTACATATATTTTTTTCAATATTATGCAATAACCACCAACTAATATGTTACTTCAATCAGTTACTAACATACATTATTTTTATTATACAATGTAGGTTGAACTAAAGTTGCCTGAAAAAGAAGTTAAATGTTCATGCAATCACTTCATACGTACTGGCATTTTGTGTTGTCATATTTTTGCTGTATTGAAAAACAACCATATTGAAGAGATTCCAGAGCAGTATATTCTTAGAAGATGGAGAATGGATGTAATTTCCAGCCATTTTCTTGCCATGAAACATGTTGCCATGGAAATAGAAGATGACGCCTTTAAACTTCTAACAGAGGCATACAACAATATTGAATACTGTTTGGATCATTTCAAAAGAACAAAGAGAAATTGTTGGAATTTGTTGAAAAAACACGTACGTTGAAGCAGGCAACAATGGAGTTTGGCAGTTCCAACCAAACATCATTTGATAACGATGAAGAAGAAATTATTCGGATGCTTGGAATACGCAGCATTCCTGATGAAATAAATATCCATCAACCTGCATCTATATGTACCAAAGGTAGTGGAACTAAGAAAAGAATGGTTAGTGCTATTGAGAAAGTTGTTGTAGCTACAAAGACAAAAACCAGAATGTGCACAGGTTGCAATCAATATGTTAACCATAATTGGAGGACTTGCAAAGTAAGACTTGCACGAGAGTCAAAAGCAGCTTAAAATTGCCTAGTTGTTTTCCCAATAGATTTTACTTTTCTATTACATTTATGAATAAGAACATGTTTCCATGATTTAGTAGGTTATGTTATCTTAAACCACTTTCATTATTTTTAACGTTTTGTTTTATTCATTGATAAATAATAGCAATGCCAAATTTGGTAATGTTAACAGATTAATGATATTATCTAGCATTTAAACCTCTTTTATTAGATTAAAACAGTTCGCACTTACAATATATATACTTTTCCTTTCTTGAAATTATAAAACCATCAATCATATACTATAGTCATATACAATCCAAGCAGTATTCATAGTTTATTGTATGCTGTTAGTAGTATATCTTAATAACAAATGTTTGTACGATTAACTTTTAAAACAACTATACATCATATATTGATTTACGTTTGCGTTTGGGTAAATTTTAGTCATAAGTTTAACCATGGTTAACTTTAAACCCTTGAGTATAGTCAATAATGAATAACATCATAAATACATTAATTATTTTCAACATATTGATGATATGAAAATTGTTAAATACTCTTCTGTTTAAGATAAAACAATTTGCATTTTTAAAGTATAATATGTTAGGAATAATTCAAGTAAGTGTTTATGCTATTATTCAATATTTAAATAACAACATACTTTAAGATATAAACCCACCAACAATCATTATATAATATAGATATGTTCACTTTAATTATTAAAAATTCTGATTGTATGGTCATAGTAAAATAGCATATTAACAAATGTTTGTTAGTAAGAATCATTACTGAATATACACTAAAATTATACCATCAATGTTAATCATCATTTTTTAACATAACTTAATTTTTCAAATGTTAATGTAAAATTATAACTACTAAAATATCACTAATCCATTACTAAAATTAGCAAACCAAAATTAACTATTGTACGTTCAGCAACCCAAGTTAATATCCTTAGCATACAAAAGCATTGTTTTTAAACTATCCAAAAGAAACCATTGAAGTCATAACTTAAATAACTTTTTTAACATAATTAACTTAAATCATCCAATCTCCTGTGAATTTCTTCCTTTGCAATGGCCAACAGTTGAGAACGTTGTTTTGAAGGAATCTTGTGGAATTCATCAACCTTTTGCAGCACATAATCCTTTTGCATATTATATTCATGAGTGGGGATTTTGTATAAATACTTTGTCCTCAGTTTAACAAGTTGATCATCTTGTGCAGAAGCCTCGTTCTTGAACCCAACTTTAAACTCATTCATACTTCCACCCATATATGTTTCCATATGACGCATCGTAAACACACCACAATGAATGCTGTTGTTTATTGTTTTCCAAGACATTTCCAGTCTATGTGGCATCACATGTGAAAACATATCAGCTTTTGGATGATTATGAGATTTTAAGTAATCAACTATGTACTCTTTCTGAAAATGTAAAAAACATTGTCAACACATATGAAATTTTATTAACTATGTAAAGTAATTTTTATTAATCACTTACAATGATTTGGGGCAACCGACCATATCTCTCACCATCAGGATCATCAACTTTGCTGTTGTCAACGATTACAAACTCTGGTTGTTGTAGATTGATCACAAAAGGGAAAATGTGGAAGGAACGGATGATTGGTAGGAAAAGCTGCAACGTTTATTCATTACAATTGTATTCACTTTATTTAATATTCATATTTGATAAATGATAAATACACACGTAAGTAAACTGTGGAGATATATCTCTTACCAATCCAACAAAACGTAGGCTTGCGTCCATATCTTCAATAGAAAGCACCAAATTCTCAATGAATTTATCTTTACGTTGACTTTCTGTTAAATCACTTTCAAGATACGAATTTTGTGATCGATTTTTAAAAATTCATTAACTTTTTTATATGTTGTATTTAAAAATAGTATAATCAATATTGAACAATATTAAATTATACCGTCACATCTGTCTTGCTATAAACTCTCAGAGGCGATTCAGGTGCACACTTACTTTCATCAAGATTCAACACTTGACTCCAACAATCAATGACATGGCCAAATAGTTCACATGTTGGAAAAAAACTTTCCATGTGAAACCTCTGAGCAGAAAAACCATCCAAAGTGTGGAAAACTATATCACTGCAAAAGACGTGACCAATTAATACTATTTTTAATAAGCAAACAATAAAATTAAGTAATTTTAAAAATATTTTAAATGCAACTTACTTTGGCTCTCCCTGGAGAGAGAATATCCATTCTGCTACACGTTTTTCCTGCCGTGGAACTTCTTTGATGATATCAACAGCCCGTATAATGTAAGGAGATTTCAGATATTCGGATTTCATGTGAGGCCTATACCCTCTTCTACTAACCCAATGTTCATCATTGTTGAATGGTACTACAGACAAAGGAATTGACATTTCCAGTTTAGATGGTGGTGTATGCTTAAAAGATTTTGTACCAAATCTATTCGCGAAGTCTGCATATTCCTGTGACATTTGAATACTACATTTTGCTATTGGGGAGTTGTCAAACTGTTTGTTAGTTGTAGCTAGAATCAGCGTACGTTCAATTTCAGCCTTGTTATCATACCACCATTGAGATTGTTCTGGTTCCTCTAATGCAGAAACTACAGTAAACAAATCATTTACTTTGTTTTTCCATTCTTTGACCAACTGATTATCAGGATATTTCTTGACAGCATCATTTATTTTGTCTTCCAACACTTTCTTTTGCTGCAATATCATGTCGTACATCTCCTTTATTGTTGAAATAGTTGTCTAATTAGGTCACCACAATAGAATTATGTTACAAACCAAATAAAAACATTAATATGTCAGTTAGTATTAATTAATACTTTAGTAACTCATTATTCAAATGTGAATAGGTAGTAAACTACCTCAACATTTTCCCCACTTCCACTAAAAATATCATCTCCTTGATTTCCCTACGAAAAGTAACACAATATTAGTTTTTGTACTAATAACTTATTATTTAGTAATGATTATATTATATTACTACCTTACACCTTACACCTCCTGCATCATTTCCCTGTCAATAATGTATGAATGTAATTAATTTATATTATACCAAATAAACAAATAATAAATTTCATATGCATTGTTCAATACAATAAAATATTACCTGAACTTTTTCTTGCCCTACATTACCAGTTTCTGATGCTTCATTGATGACTTGAAATGGATCTTGCAATTCACCCATACCCAGACCAATTGTTCTACACTCTACTCTTTCTCGCTCACGTAGTTTATCAACATTCCAACAACATATTGCTGGTCTGCATCGTACAATCTTCATTGAATCGCATCGAACACTTTCTACGTATAGCAACTACAACAAAGACAAATAAAAAATGTATTACTTAAATACACTTTAATGAATCTGCACACATAAGGCTACAAATATTGAATGACAGTTTAATTTAAAACAAATCTTACCAGCAGTAATATAATTGGCCCAACATAGAATCCTTTTTTGCTGTTTGGATTCCATGCACTTTTTGTCTCCTTAAGGCAATCAAAAACATATCCACACCAATCAATGTCACTTAGATCCAGGTCTTTCATCACTTTTAATAACATCGACAGGTCACATGTTCCCATGCTCATCGACTGACCTAGTGTATTACACAAGAGGACAAAGATATTTACTTTAAACATTAAATCTGCACGTGTTGATTGCATAATAACTTGTTGAACTGCCCTTGATCTAATATTATCTTCATCTTCAAATTGTTTTCTCCAAACATTTATCGTGTCGTCTGTGACTTCTCTATAAGGCATGGACTTTATTGTAACATGTCCCAGAGGCAGACCCAACATTTTGTGAATAACTTGCCGATTGATTGGTATCTCTCCATGATGAACTTTGAGTACCATCCTATCTGCATTAAAATTCCTGACAATATAATGCCCCATAATTGATGCACACCCATCCACTTTCATATTCAACAAATGCCCCAGACCAATAGAAGAAATATGAGCTTCCTGTTCCTTGCTAAGGTTATGCATACAACTGTACGAAACATTTGGAGATGTCCGTACTTGTATTCGCCTAGCTTCTTCGCACCACTTGCTACAACTTTAGGAAGTTTTCTTGGCTTCAATACATTTCCTTCTTTATTCCTTTGTCTTTTAAATTTCTTCACATTTTCTTTGTCATCATCTTTGAATGAAGTATGATGCCTTCTCTTTTTCCTTGTTACCACAGGTTTGTCAACTTCAAAACCAGAGTCTTCATCTTCGTGAAGCTTCTTGACAGTAACATTATCTTTTCCTGTCAAGACATATTTAACACAATAAATGATTATAAATGAATTATCAAACCAATACTATACTAAATTTATTAAAAAAAACACTACCTGAAAATGAGTTTATAACAACAACTTCATCACCTTTTATTTTACATCTATCAAAACGTCTTTTTGTTCTCAATTCATTTTCCTTATTTAGTCCACTATCTTCTATCAAGTCATAACTTTCAATCAAACCTGCCAATAATTAGACAACATAATCATAACTGAAGATACTTTAATATACAAGTTACATTACATGAAATCATCATTCATACCTTTTTTCTGTATATTTTTTTTAGCTTTTGAAAACCTTGAATTTCCTCCATCAAACTTCTTCACATTGACTTTGGGTTTCATGTTCTTTTCTATTAATAAATACAAAACAACACAAGTTATTAAAACTAACTACAACATCAAACTCTAAATAAATTTATTTCTAAACAAGTACATTACTTGAATCTGAGCTCAAAACTACAACTTTAAGATCCCTTCGCATTGAATGAGCTGGTGTGCGATTAACACGTTCCCCACACCTGTCCAAAAAATAAGACACATAATCACTATAGATTCCAATTGATATTTAACATTTTAAATTTCATATAATCATCATCACCACCAGTTTGTTTTTTAGTTTTCTTCTTAGGTGTTGAACACTTCTTTTGTCCTTCTCTTCTAATCTGAGGTTGTACATGTTCGTTTCCTTCATTGTTTTCATCTTCGATGTCAATTAGCAATGGATTGGATTCATCATTAGTGAATTTGCTGAATGCCGTCTTTAGTAATATCCTCTTGCTTTTCTTTCTACCTAATAGTAGAATTAAAATACCTTAATAATTTATAACTCAGAATTGAATCATTAACAACTTAAATAATCATAAATTATACATACTAAACACAAACACAATTAAACACATACCCAAAAAACAGAGGAATGTTTACAATAATCATCAATAAACAAACAGTGTAATTAACTTACTCACATAAAACAATTGGGACTCCTACACCATTATTCTTTACATACAAAATCATGTACAGGATCAAAACCACATACATACTCAATAAAGTACCCATTCACAAATGAATATGTCTTTAACAATATACAAAACATACAACCAACAAGAAGGATTAATACTAGAAAAAGTACTTATGTCTCAAAAACAATCGGATTTTACAAGTAATCATTAGTAATAAATGACATTTATACCCTTCGTTATTATTTTTCTACTAAACACCATTAACAATCGAATACTAACATCAATTACTCCTCTTGTCCCCAAAATCAGAGGAATGTTTACAATAATCATCAACAAACAAACAGTGTAATTAACTTACTCACATAAAACAGTTGGGACTCCTACAACAATATTCTTTACATACAAAATCATGTACAGGATCAAAACCACATACATACTCAATGAAGTACCCATTCAACTCTGAATATGACTTTAACAATATACAAAACATACAACCAACAACAAGGATTAATACTAGAAAAGTACTTCTGTCGCACAAACAATCGGATTTTACAAGTAATCGTTAGTAATGAATGACATTTATACCCTTCGTTATTATTTTTCAAATAAAAAACATTCACAATCGAATACTAACATCAATTACTCCTCTTGTGCTACTTCTAATGTAAAAAAAAAAAGACCTAATTTTTGGGTTTACGTAACCTTACTTCAGTTCAAAGTAGTCGACTACGTTTACACATGTATATTCATCTTAGAACTATCAAACACAATCATAAACTATTGATTTTTAAGCACATTCAATATCAGAATACCGTAAATTCGAAACTCATCTATAATTACCATTTTCATTTAAACAATCAAATACACCAACGTGTTATTTGTAAAACACAACATTTAAATCAACAATCATCAAAGATGAAGAATCACTACAGTTCATAATCGATGATATAAAAAAAACGAAAAACCCAACTTCTAGGGTTTTAAGAATCGTTAAATGTACACATTAACAAAAACTAAACACACTAATACACCCGTTTTCCAGTCAATCGACATTCAATAAAGATTAGAAAGCTTACTTCTTCCACTTCGATTGATCATCGACGACATTCCTCCACCTTCAACGCTTCACGGAGTTCTGAATGCAAAATACATCTTCACGGATGAACAGTATTAATCGCCTTTCGTATAATCGTTTAGCTGTGATGCTATTTTTCATTCAAGATATGACCGAATCATCCAAAAGATTAGAAGTTAACTGTGATTACTAAAACATAGGAACGATTTCTTTTAATTTTCAAACTTACCCGATATATTCAAATTGGATGACATCATAAAATTACTTGAATACCCTTTTATATTTTTTTAATTAAAAAAACAATTAAATTCATTTATTATTTTCTTTAAATTAATGATCAATGAGATCTTTAGATTATAAATATTTAATGTACCAGATTTGTTCTCGCGTTCTCAACCTTTTAGACGTTCTCATTTGATCATTTACCTATATATATATAGTGAAGTAGAAATCCAGTAAATTTCAACGGGTTTTTTGGAATTTTGACTTAAATGGGGTAAAATAATATGATAAGCATTTAACTCTTAAATACTTAATGCCGACATAACCTAACTGAAAAAAGGAAAAAACGGCTGAAATATTACACCTAAACTCCCTCATCTTTCTTTGAAATTGCTAAATCCTTAACTGATGACAAACACCGTGTAACAATTAGGGGTGTAAGTGAGACAAGCCAACTCATGAAAAACACGAGACCGATTCAGAAAATACTCGAAATCGACTCGACCTTAATCGATCCGAACTCGAGCTCGAGCTACTCGAGTACCTTATCGAGCCGAGCTCGAGTACTAAAATACTCAGCTTGTAAGCTCGCGAGCTTAGTGTAATTTACATATATGTCATTTCTATATAATTATTCATTTATTGCATATATATCATTTCTTTATAATTATTCATTTATGATAAATCCTTAACTGATGACAAACACAATGTAACAATTAGGGGTGTAAGTGAGACAAGCCAACTCGTGCAAAACACGAGACCGACTCAGAAAATACTCGAAATCGACTCGACCTTAATCGATCCGAACTCGAGCTTGAGCTACTCGAGTACCTTATCGAGCCGAGCTCGAGTACTAAAATACTCAGCTTGTAAGCTCGCGAGCTTAGTGTAATTTACATATATGTCATTTCTATATAATTATTCATTTATTGTATATATATCATTTCTTTATAATTATTCATTTATGATATATATGGTTGATGTTATATTGATATTAGTGAATAATTATTCATTTATTGCATATATATATATATATATATATATATATATATATATATATATATATATATATATATATCATTTCTTTATAATTATTCATTTGGACATTTGCATGTGGAATGTTTAATATTTCATACACAATTTAGTGATTTTGATTTTTTTATTAAATAATAGTCGAGTCGAGCCGAACCGAACTCGAGACTGTCAAGTATTTCACGAGTCTGAGCTCAAGCTTAAAATCAAGGCTCGAGTCGAGTTCGAGCCAAGTTTCGAGCTCGAGTATTTTAGTCGAGCCGAGCTTCAAACTTGGTAGTATTCGGTTCGACTAGGCTCGTTTACACCCCTAGTAACAATCCAAGATTTTGTTTTTACTCCATTTATATAATTTGCATTTCATCCATTAGAAAGAGTGGCATCTAAACACATTATATATAAAACAAAAACACAAAATGACAATTTCTATTAAAGTTTTGTATTACATTATGGAAGATGATTTCTTATTAAGAGATTAATAATTTGTTTCAACTGTTTTCATGATTTTGACTATTGATCATGATTCATGGCACAAGAAGAACCAAAAAGGGTACCACTAGAACATTTACCTTATCGAAAGCTTGACACATAAGCATTAAGGTCTCATCTATGAAACCAACCCCAACTTGACATGTTAGCAACAAGATTCAACATCTTTTTATTGGTTTATGATACTTCATATAAGTATATTCTTATCAGACGATTTGTTTGATTTTGAAATATTTCTCTCATTATCCTCTTGCGTCCACAACGGGGATATCATATCATGTCGAATACGCTTTTACTCTTTTACCCTTTTATAGAAAAAAAAAATTTGAAAATGGTGTCTATATTTGTTTCTTAAGACATTGTATTAAGAATACTTGTTGGACCATCATTAGTATGTATGCATCGTCCACCACTTTAGCATACAAAAAACAAATTCCAATCTGATGAAGAATATTGGGAAATCTTTGTATCCATATATCAAACCACTACTTTTCTTGAATTATTAAAGATGCCAATCGGATTTATTTAAAAACCTAGAAAGGTATAACTCATCAAGAATCTTTCACAAGGACAATATCTTGTTCAATTTGCTAATTAACTTTTATGTTGTCGCATGCGTTAATTACATTGTGCATCAGCGTTTGGCAACACATATGATTCCTATACACATTAGGATCCTTGCTATGTATAAATGATATTTTAGTTATTTTTTGTCATGAAGGGTTCACATTCCTATAACTTACGTCTGTTTCTTGTTGTAATGTATGTTTTGCTTTGATCAGAAAATTTGATAATCAGATTCTGATCAAAGTAAGGATGACCTTCAAACTTGTAAACCTGGTTCGGAACCGGAACCGGAATCGTAACCGGTATATGTTAAACTGGTTCGGATATCGGGTATAGTGGGTTTGTGTTTAGTGGGTATGGGTAAAACGAGTAAAGGGAAGTGGACCTTGTAGTTTAAAGACCTCAAATAAAAAATGAGTGGCGGTGTGAGGGTCAAAGTAAAGAGGAATCCCAAAAAAATCGTGTTATATATAATAAGAAAAAAAAACCCCGCAATTTCACTAGGCATAAAGTTCAACTTTCATAACAAAATTAATAAGTTAAGTTTTAAAGTTCGTCTATTCGCATTTTCATTTTACGAAAGCGAGTAATTACGGTATCCATAGGCAGATCTTATACTTTAATTTTATACATGTTATGATTTCATCTATTCTGCCTCAAAACAATTAGTTTTTCATTTCCGCTTACCAAACTTCTACTCTTTCAACATTCTCAACCTTTTAACCTCACATGACACGACATATTTCAAGGTATAGCCCTAACCAGAAACCCGACACGAACTTGACACGAAATAAACGGGTTGACACAACACGACACGTTAATTAAATTGGTCGGGTTAGGGTTAAACGCTTTCAACTTGTTTAGTGTTTTGATACGACACGAACTCGACACGACACGACACGACACGATTGCCACCTCTAGAAGAAAGGCAGCAACAACTGCAGCGTGCGTGAATCGCAGGAGGGAAAGGGGAGTCCAAAAAAAATTATGCTACTGATTTTTTTTTTTTGAGGGCATCCCTGGATACCCCGGGCTCCATGGTGGATCCGCCTATGTAAAAAATTATACGTGCGTCATCGACTCCCGTTGAACTGAAAAAAAAAAAAAACTCATGTCGTAGTTTCCATCGTGCCCCCTTAATACAAAAGTACCAAAACAACCCATGATTAAGTTAAAAATACAAAAAACTCCCTATACAAGTTGAAAGCAAAAATTTCCGGTTTTCCGGTTCTAAAACTTGAAACTCGGTTCTACTCTACTCACTTGAGATTTCCAGTTCTAGATCCACTTTATCTGGTCCCGTATTCGGAACCGCTTCCTATATACCGGCGCAGTTTTCAGTTCTACTAAATTAGGTATTCCGGTTTTCCGGTTCGGGCTTCATTGTGACATATCATGTTGGTAGTAATACACAGAGTATTTTTTTTTTTAAGGAAGCATGTTTTGTGCATACATATATAATGTATACGTCAATAAAGCGATGAAATATGCATGCACTGTGTGGGCGTCAGGGCGTGCGCATGCAAATAAATTTCAGGTGGGGTTTTGAATTATTGTGAAAAAGAGAATAAAGTAAAGATGAAAATTCATATCGAAAGACATGAGGCACAAATTCTTTGCTCAGATAACTGGTACCACTATCAGAGTGTATAACTGGAACTGTAACACGTATTTCGGTCAATCGCATAGTGTAAACACGAATACACGATTATCGTTGTAATTTTGATATTAGGAAAACACAAGTCTAAAAGTTTTACATACACCTTATAAAAGAAAAGGAAACGAAGGATAATGGGTTAGGAAGTTAACATATATAATTCTTTCTGCAACCTGTAGGCAATATACACAATCACACATAATTAAGATCTGCACAATTAACACAAGTAAATTGAACAAATATCATTTAGACACATTAATTATGAAAATACAATATGCATTTTTAGGTTATACATGATATATTCTAAATGTTATTTTTCACTTGGAGTGAAAATGAACTAATGATTATGCAATATATATACCCACACTTTCTGAAGGTATGTTAGATAAAATCAAATCAACAAGTGTTATTGGCGAGTTAAAATTTGATTTGAGGGCACCGAAAATATAATATCTATAAAAATTGGTAGTTCGGGCTACAGCCAAAATATTATATTTTTCAGATATATATATATATATATATATATATATATATATATATATATATATATATATATATATATATATATAGAGAGAGAGAGAGAGAGAAAAAGAGAGAGATAGTGCTTCTAACCAAAAAGGGGGCTCGCCATAATAAAAGCTCTGCCATTGAGTGTTATTACAAGTCCTAATTAATTAAACTTATTTATGAAATTCATATACTTCATAATAATTAAATAGCTTATTTACAACATGACATGACATGCTTTTTTAATTTGTGATAATTTTGAATTAATTTTTTTCCGTATGTTATTTTATGGGTTTTCTGTTTTGTTAAATTACATTTAATATTTTAATATAATATTTGTAATAACTAAGGTAATAAATAAGTATCAATTTTATTAATGAGTTACCTTCTAATTATAAAACTTTTAAATTAAAATTTATTAGTTACTTTTTGTTTATTTATTAAAATTATCTGTTTAAATTAAAAAGATAAAATATATTTCAATTTTAATAATTCATTATTTTTTTTTATTTTCTTATAAATTAACAGTTCTCAATTATTTAAACATTTATTTTTATT